GCTGGTAAGAGCAGGCATCACTAGCACATTTCCTCCTCATTTCAATGCCAAAATGGCAACTGTTCATGGGGGTACAGGAAGTGTGTGATGTGCTTCACTCCTAAGCGGCTAGAGCCTGAAGCAGAAACACGGCTATAAAGCTGCAACTAAAAAAGCAGCCTTTACTCCCTTCTTTCGGAAAACGGTACTCGAATGGAATTTTGACAGATGCTAAGAAACTAATAACTAACTAGACACCTCAACATTCCCATCATGGTTGGATCCTCCACCTGGGAAAAAGCACTCATGGTGTAGCAAGTCCTGCACTCCTTCAAAAACCTACAACCAAAAAAAAAAAAAAAAAAAAAAAAAAATCAAAGGAGTTCAAAACAAGGGAGATGCAGTTGTTGGCGAAATGCTCGGTCTTCCATTTAGCCGGACCCTCACCAGCGTCCCCAACCCTGCACCCTTAACCACTAGGACAAGGGGCAATATGCATGCACCCTTGAACACTAGGGCAAGGGGCAACATGCAATGTCCCCTTCAGCATGAGAGGCAGCTATGCTTGCAGGGGTCCCCACTATATAGCCTTCGGGGTAGGTAGGTAGCGAAAAGCGAAAGACTTTGAGAGAAGAATATAGTGTAGTTCTTTTTCTCCTTCTTAAAGAAAAGAAAACAGAAAAGAAAAAAAAGAAAAATGGCAAAAGGAACCTATCCCTGTTACCCGTGGCTGTGACGAATCCAGCACGTCTACAGACTCTGCACACAGTTGGCCTCAGTCGGTCACACACGCGTGTGGGTGTATGTGAGTGTGTGTGCGTGTGTGTGCGTGTGCGTGTGTTGGGGGAGGGAGGGCGTGCATGTGTGTGTGTGTGTGTGTGTGTGTGTGTGTGTGTGTGCAGAGGGGAGGAGGGGGGTATGGGTGGGTCACATGTCGGATTTAGTCCAAGAAACTCACAAGATCCAGAAAAGATACCGCTGTCAAAGATTACACAGTCTGCTGGATACGAAACATATCTATCATCGGAACTGATAAATTCCGAGGCTGTGGCCCTGTTGCCCCTCGAGGGCTGGCTTCAACTCCAATTTCTGAAAAGGAGTACTGTGAGGATCGTAATAGAACCCTTGAATGGTGCCATCCCTTCGCGAGAAACAAACGTAGTAGAAGCCAGCAATTGTCAGTCCACAATCAGGATTGACATTCACAAAGAATTGCTCTTTCCAGCGCATAAACATGTGATCATAATTGGCTAAATCCACACTGAGCCCTCCGTCTCGTTCCACTTCTGCCATGATCGGTGCGAAGGATGCGAATTTCGCCCAATGCTTGAGATCATTGTCCTTCGTTGCGTTCCACTGCCCCGTGAAGAATGTGTGATTCTTGTTGTCGACAATCTCCCCTTCCCAAAATGTCACCACCGACGACTCCGTCGACTGCACGTTCAGTGCTTCCATGCTGCCACATAAGTAGCCCTGCTCAAGGTTACAACCCTGGATCCGGACGTTGACTTTCCATGCCTCGTCTTTTGCGGACCCCTGATTCTGTGGCACATTCTGAGTACCCACGAAAGTCTGCCCAACGTTGAGGAACGCACACACCTGGTGAAGAGTCGCCCCTGGCATTTTGTTTTTGGATTTGCAATTTTTCTTTTTTGAAAACTTAAGAGTCTCTAGACCTCGTCAAAGTCGCGTGTTGGTTACTCGATCACCAAAGTGTGTCAGGTATTCCTCCAGAAAACTTGCGAAAAGTAAATAAAAAAACAGAGCTGGTAAACAATCTCAAGATTCTCAAGATTCTCAAGATTCTCAAGATTCTCAACCTTTTCGAAGCTGCGAAATCTGGGAGAGTCAGAGCTACCACCAAGCATATATACCTGTCCCGCAGCTGTGAATCATGTCAGAGACAGTCAGACGTACTTTCTCACAGATGTGAATCTGGTGATTCTGGTCCTGACAGAGCAAGTGTAAGACATTATAAGAGCCCGTTTGTGACCAGGTCTCGTCAGCTAAGTTTCGCTTTTAACAGGGTTGCTTTGCAGGTGGATATGATCCTTTCCGTCGCCCAAAGGAGGACACCTGCCGATATCTTAATTTGTCACAGGACTGGAGGGCACGGATGCAAAAAGACCACCAGCAGACCAACCAACATATGATGATAATCTATGATCATTATGGCAATCCATTGCACACTCCCACACCTGCACAACTCTCTCTCTCTCTCTCTCTCTCTCTCTCTCTCTCTCTCTCTCTCTCTCTCTCTCTCTCTCTCTCTCTCTCTCTCTCTCTCTCTCTAGTTGGTCCTTTCCTTCACCAATGATAAGTTGTCTTCATGCATTCACGCGCAAATGTTTACTCTGCAAAAACAAAGAAAAAAGGGACAGTTAGATCCGATGTTGCCAGAGCCAGTGTATGCAAATATCAGGCACACACAGGAATGACCAATGCTTTGGAGGTGTCATCAAGAATTTCCCTGCATCCTTTCCCCGAAGAATAAAAAAAAAATGTTAACATCCATTGATTGTGAATCAGAAGACTTAGATAAGTGAAAAAGAAGTTACCCCACACAAAATCCCATAACCAACAGTTACTGTGTTTGCGTAAGCGTTGTCTTTCAATCTGCATTCTGGCCAACCGCCCAAAATAAGTATTGTATTGGCTTTCCGTATCAGATGTTGTCTACGGTACCCGGGCGCGTACCCCATAGCCTTCCCCCATGCTTATAGCAAATCCAGAGTGCACATGTCAGGGGACGACTAGCCACAGGTCAGATTTTGAATTTTCTAAGCACTGCGCCAGCCAAAGCTTAGCTTTCCACTGGGAGAGGCAGTACAGACAGGAGGAACTTTTTTACAAAGCCATTCACTATGGTGTAGTTCTTTTCAGATAACTGCAGTTACTTTTTCACCTCCTCGTGGGGGGGGGGAAAGGGGGGCGGGGGGCGCACTCTTGGCATGCAAGGGAGGAGTGTACCTAGTCTGCATAAACAAGGTATTCGCATATCATAAAGAAAGATTATCTTTCAATCGGGAAACATAACCTCCTAGACTGGCCGACGAGATGGGTCTCTTCGGCTGCCTCAGGCCACCCCGGGTGGTCTGGCCCGGTCAGCACAGGCAAACACCCGGGTCAGGACAGGCAAGGTCCCGTTCAAGGTGCCAGGCAGCTCCAGCAGAAAATAAAAACAGTAAAATAATTTGTGGGGCGTAAGCCCCTCGGCCAGAGCCACTCTTGGCATGCAAGGGAGGAGTGTACCTCATCTGCATAAACAAGGTATTCAGTGCTATTCACATATGATAAAGAATTACCTCCTAGACTGGGCGATGAGATGGGTCTCTTCTGCTGCCTCAGGCCACCCCGGCTGGTCTGGCACGGTCAGCACAGGCAGACACCCGGGTCAGGACAGGCGAGGTCCCGGTCAAGGTGCCAGGCAGGTCGAGTCCAAAATAAAAACAGGAAAATAATTTGTGAGGTGTAAGCCCCTTGGCCAAGGATGGAAAGGGCCTGCACCCGCTGGAAACTTTCTGCACCCGCCCTAAGTGAAGGCGGGCCCCTGAAAATTTGACAAGGCCTAAAAATGAGGCCGATATGAGCAGGCACGGCCTCGTGGGTTGGTATGCAGCATCTCCGACCGACCAGTGGGCACGATCGATCGAAGATGCTGAGGCCATGCAAAGATGCTGAGACCCAGGGCACTTACAGCTGGGCCCAGGTACATTCTGGAAGGGCCCTGGACGCAGCTACCAGAGCATAGGCCGAGGAAGTGAGGACACTCACTTCTCATTCATGCTGGCTGGCTGGACGGCGGCAGTGCTGCCAGAGCGCTGGTCGGCTGAGTGGAAGGGCGCTGGCAGGGCGCGAGGAAGAAGCTGCGAGTGCACAGCTGGTACGCAAGGCAGCGATAGCCAGGCTGCCTGTGCCACGGTCAGAGAGACCAAAGCGGTGGTCCTTCGGTTAGAGACGACGTGGGGTGGAAGAAGGATAGAGCAGGCACATGAGAGCTTACCTGGTGATGATCAGCGGGTTGCCAGAGTCAAAAGTCTTCATTCGTCATCGGGCTACTGATCGTCATGACGACCTGTTGTCCTCATCGTAAACTCTAGAGAATAGGTGCTGTCTGTTTGTAGTTTGGGTGCCGAGCACCATAGAGGAGAGCGGCATTGGGGACATCGAGGCGAGGAGTGGGCTCTCATTGTCAATTGTCTTCATGCTTTGCTCTTATTTGGTGTAACTCGTGTGCAATCTGCTTCCAGTTCGCGCTCATGACTATCTGGACTTCTGTGGGATGATGCAATTTGGTTTCTGTCATTCGCTCTGCTCATTTTCCTTACGATTCTGTATCAAAGCTGGTTTGCAGGCTTCCTCCTTGGGGGGCAAGTGTTATTCGGAATGACTAGGCGTAAAGGGCACGTAGGCGGTGAATTAGGCGCGAAAAATCAATTAAATTATGCCTGAGAGGGCTCCAGCGCTGTTTGTCTTCTATGGTGCTCGGGAGTTCAAGCAGTGTAAGTGCAATTGTGCTGTTGGGTGATGTTGTTCGTCCCTAGAGGGACGATGCCCCGGAGGCTTATTGGAAAAATAATGGGTGCATGCGCTTGACGATGTGAGCGAGATGGCATGGCATTCAGCACCGGAGGCACTTCCATCATAATGTTTGTGGTTCCAATGCTATCCGCCGGTCAACGAAATTCATGTCTTCACTGATGGTGAGAAATCTGTGGTTGAGGGCAGCTATCGAGGTACGTCGTCTCCTACCTCATCGACTGTCTTCACTGCTTCCTACCGTGAGGAAAAGGGGGTTCCATCTTGAAAGTCCTCTCGTGGTGAGGAGTCAGCGGGCCCTCTACCTTGAGATTGGACTTTCTTCTGGCACAATCTGGAGGGGACGCATACCTGAACGATCGGCATCTTCGTGAGATCATATACGAAAGGTAAGAGAATCCCCACACATGACGTCCCAGAATACTGTATGGCTGATGGACGACTGTTCCTTGAGATTTGACTTTCTTCTGGCACAATCTGGAGGGGACGCATCCCTGAATGATTGGCATCTTCGTGAGATCATATACGAAAGGTAAGAGAATCCCCACATGGAGTCCCAGAATACTGTATGGCTGACGGATGACTGTTCCAGAAATTGGACGTAGATGACCGCTTGTGCATCCCAAGGGATGAGGGAGTTCGCACTGTGATCCTGGGAGAATGTCACTACTCTGAGGGTCATTTGGGTGGAGGAAGACTTATGCTAACCTCCTGCAATTGTATATGTGGATAAGCATGAACCATGACTGCATCATGTATGTTCAGGGCTGTGCAAAGCCTGTCAGCGAAACAAGTCCCACGCAGCCCCTGCTCAGACTGCTAAAACCGTTGCCCATAGCATCACCAGGCCCCGGAGACTCGGTCTCCATAATAGACTTCATGGACACGAAGAAGGTTAAGAGTCGAACTGGGAACAGTCAGGTTATGGTAGCTGTACACAGATTTAGTACATTTGCCGTTTTTACTCCGATGCCACCCGAAGCGAAGACAGATCTAGTTATTCGGGAGTTCTTCAACAATTGGGTGAAGGACTATTGGCATCCGCTTATGATAGTCAGCGGCAGAGGGGCGAGCCCCCTAGCAACAGCTCATGGAAGTCCACGGGTCGAAGCTAACATATGTCCTCAGGAAGGCACCCGGAGACTGACGGTCAGACTGAACAGATGAAAAAGTTGCTACAGCAAATGCTACACATGTACATTAGATGAGATCAGATCGATTGGGACAAGCATCTAGCTAAGGTACCAAGTGCCTATAACCACTCGGTGACCTAGACGACCCGTAGACTACGAGAATCCCGATCAGATTCACCAGGCACCAGAGAGGTTACAGTACAGTATGGGAAGGATCTGCAAAAAGTTACTGAGAACATTCCGAAGGCCCAGCATCAGATGGTACAGCAGGCGAACAAGCACCGCAGACCATCTCGCTTTGTTGGAGACCTCGTCTGGGTCGAGTCCAAAGAGTTCCTCCTCCTAGGGGAAGGAGTCTCTCAGAAGCTGCTACGGTGGTCCTTCATAAACTACAGATACACCGGCAAATCTGCATACTTACCTAGTTTTCCATGGTTCTAAGTTGCTCCCATGCGTAGTGAACAATCAGCTCCCTTCACGCAGATCGATAACTCCGCCTGATATGGATGGAAGATGGGACATCCACCACATTCTCGATGAAGATGTCTATACGTCAGGTACGAGGGGCAGACCATGGCGTCAGTACAAGGTTAGATTTGGATATCAAGAACCTGAAGACTATAGCTGCTACACTAGGGAAAACCTAAGGGAAAGATCACCTAACGGAACGGAGTCTCTTATTATTGAGTAATATGAACGGGCTGGGAAGAGTATCAGCATTATCGAATGGTCAAGATAGCAGCATCTTTCTCCGAGGACCTCGAAATTAGGCCAGCAAGAGTGAAAACGATTTCACGCCCGAGTCCCAGTCCTAGAGTCCCACTTGGGTGCAGCCCCCCAAATTGTCCCGGTCCCACAAGGTCCCATTAGGTCGAGTCCCAAGGCTGTAGGGGTCTCATACGGTCCGACGGCCGAAGCGTCGTAGTTCCGGTAAGTCGGTAACCCAAGCGTCACAGGTCGGTCGGTAGAAGTCTATAGGTACCCGACAAGAAAAGTCAATCCCAAAGTCCAAATTTTCAGCAGCGTCCCACGGAAATCCAGAGATTTCCCAGAGCCCAAACATGCGGCCAACAGGCCGCACATGACCCGTACCAGTCCGAAGCAGGCAAACAGCAGCCAGAAGTGCTATTCATAGCTGCTACCGTGACAGCGCTGGCCAGTTGTTCATTCGCTCTGTGCAATGGTGCAACTTCAACCGGAGCAGGCAAACACCAGTCAAAAATGCTATTTATTGCTGCTACAGTGACAGCGCTCGCCAGTTGTTCATCTCCGAGTTGCAGAAATGCTGCCGGTTGCTTGTGCAATGGTACAACTTGGGGAAGACCGGCACCAGGGGGAAGAAGATGGCTCCTTAACCATAGCTACGGTTAGGTAGGAGAGAGAAGGTGGGAGAGAGAAGGTGGCCATGGCCGTGAGGTCGAAAGTCGAAGTGACGCGGAACCGTCATGGGTGGATTCAGGGAGGCAATCTAGGTAGGAGAGAAGCAGAGTGATGCAGAGCGATACAAGTTTGAAGCCAGTAAGGTCGAGTGGTACAAGTTAAGAGAGAGAGAGAGAGAGAGAGAGAGAGAGAGAGAGAGAGAGAGAGAGAGAGAGAGTACAAGTTAAGAGAGAGAGAGAGAGAGAGAGAGAGAGAGAGAGAGAGAGAGAGAGAGAGAGGGAGGGAGTCACAGCAGGCGGGGGGAGGGAGTGGGGTACTTACCATAAGGGGGTTGTTGGATGAACGCGGCAAAGCTGTTGGAAACCTGAGCTTTTTCATTGTATAATATGATGATAGTTTGAAGTTTCTCAATTGCGCTGATTCTGATTTCATCTGTTGCCTTCGCATGGACTCTTGAGTGAACATTCTGCCGTTGAATGTTGAATTTGGGGTTTATTTTTGGGAGGTTGATTGCAAAAAAGGGACATTTGGTGATTTATTTTTCGGTTTTTTTTTTTTTGCCATTTTATCTTGGTCAAAGTCTGTGTTTGCCAAGTTCCGTCTTTGTTGGAACCTTCCAGATTACTGTTTTGGCAAGCCCTGAAACCCCTGAAAATCCTGAAAAACTGTGAAGGGTAAATTATCCATGAAAAGGTTGAGAACTCAGAAAACACATTTTTGCCTTACGGTTTTAGGCTCCTTAGGTTTTTGTTTTTTTTTTCGTCTTTTCTTATTATTATTATTATTAATTTTTTTTTTCCCTAAGAAAAGCCAGATCAGTTTTTGAAACTTTTTTTTTGCTCCTGATTTATTTTGGTCAAGGTTTGTGTGTGGCACTGTGTGCCAAGTTTGGTGTCTGTTGGAGCCTTGGGGATGACTGTTTTGGCAAGCCTTGAAAACCCTGAAAATCACGAAAAACTGTAAAGGAAGGGTGGATTTTGCATGAAAGGCATCTGAAGCACATGTTCGCCTTACGGTTTTAAGCTCCTTAGGTCTTTTTTTTTTTTTTTTTTACCTTTTTGTTTTGTTGTTTTTCGTCTTCACTCTATAAATTGGTGACAAGTTTGGTTCAAAAGGCGTAAAAGCTGTGTTAAAAGGACCATAAGAAAACCCTGAAAACTTGGGGCTCGGTTCACCGTTGCTCACATTAGTTAGAATTAGTTGCACTTGCCCGCGCGAACCCCCCCTGTGAGTCCTATCTATAACCCAATATTAACCCCTGACACCCCTCCCTGAATGCCAGATACGGTTTTCAGAAACAACCTCCCGTTTGTGCTCAATTTGACATGCACAAAATAACCATGCAAGATCCGGGGGAAAAAAGGGACGAACATTTGTCAGCTGTCCTGTTTCCAGGGAGCTTGGTAGTACCGCAATATCAGGCCCAAAATCCCAGGATTTGAATTGGTCCCTCCAGGATCTAACATGCCCAGGGTGTCTACAAATATAGACGATCAGATGATCTGTATAAATTCGCCAAAATTATGTTCAATTCAGGGCTGGTCCCCGGTCGGACCGGGGGCCCCTTCCCCACCCGGGAGCCTGCCGGTCGGACCGGCCGGTCGACCGGCCCGGCAGACCCCCGGTTGAATCCAGCTTATTAGGCTGGACGGGGGGTACCGGGCAGTGACAGGTATCCCCACGACTGCCCAGCCCCCACGAGGCCGCGAGCTCCCAAAAAAAAAAAAAGGGGCTTTTTGGGCTCCACTTCTAGGAAACAACGAGCGGAGAATCTCCGCCGCTTATCTTTGCAGATCAGCGGCAAACGACCGTCGTGCGCGTTTTCTCAAAAATTGGGGGGCCACCAGGCCCCACATTTTGATTTGGCATAGTGTGGTCCGACAGACCACGGACCAGTTACCATTGGCATGACATACTCGTCCATCCTCAGCCACGAAGGAATTACTATGGAAGAGCAGTGGCTCTCCTGAGGTTATATGCTTCTGCAACATCACTAAGCTCTGGGGAAAGAGTTATGGGTTTGGGTTTCGGCTCTGTCTGAGGTGCAAGCCCAAGAACAGACCTAAGCTATATTTTTCTGTCAATCTATCTAGAATGCACGTGGCTCCACTACATGTATCTGGACAGACTAGCAGGCGAGATACTTTCGGACTGAGGACTCTGTTTAAATTCTAAAACAAAAAACAACAGAAAACGTTCTGTATTTAAAACAAAAAAGACAAATAGAAAACCCTCTGCCTGCACGAGCTGAAACCTGCACCCATAACTTTTTGGCCGTCGAGCTATACTCTGGAAAACGTATAAGTTTTGGCAAAGATCCACTTCTATTGCATCTCATTCAGGCTGCAGGATTCCGACGGCCGTTGGCATAGTCCAGAGTGCCTTCTGCTACTGAATTGAAGTCCGTGGGCCATGGGGGGTCGGATAAGTAATATTGCTTACTCGACCCCTCCCCCTGAAAGTCACACCTCCGTGAATATTCCAATAATATCCCCACCTACCCCTGGGGCACCCCCCCAAAAAAATTGGACCTTAATAATTTTATTACGGATTTCGACAGCTCTTGCAGAGCGCAGTCAGAATCCGCCAAAAAAAAAAAAAAAAAAAAAGAGAATTGGGCTTTATTTTTTGAAAACCGGTTTCCCGGTTCACCCCCCCGGGGCTGGTCCGGTTCCGGTTCTGGTTCAACCGGGCAAGCTGAACCGGCCGGTTGCTGGCCCAGCCCTGGTTCAATTGAATATTTTCCCCAGTTTCGGCTTTCAAACAGCGAATGCTGTGCAGCGCTGCCATAGACAGCTTTTGGCTGAGGTTATGAAATTCCTGGTACACATCCGTTCCGGGTGGGAACCATGCTTTTTGGCACTCCTTGCAGGATTGCAGAAGTAAACAAAATGAGATTTGAGAGCCTCACTTTTTCCCAGGTTCTGATTATTTTTCGGATACATCCACGAGGCAGCTAAGCGAGTTACCATATAAACTAGTGGTCATAAAAATAAAAATAAAAACAGTTGCAAGAGGAGTGGACAACATCCTGCAAATAATCATTCTAGAATCTAGACGTCATACCTTGCCCGGGGGAGCGGAGCGTGGCTTTTCTTGTTTTCTCTAGACCACCACTATATCGTACTACTTCCACACGGTCCACAACTGTGCACAGAGAAGCTGCAAGATGCGCTAGTGATGGCACCTGCAGTGGCACAGAAAAGTTGGTTTCGCCGATGTCTTTCCCTGGATCAAGATCTCTGCAGAAGTGGATGCCCATCAACCTCGGATTTGAGCAGTTTGCCTAACCTCCCGAGGTTCAGGAAGTTGAGGGCAGCACAAAAGAGAGGTTTAGCAAAATAGGTTCGAATAGATTGTCGGCTCAGATGGGGCCAGCCGGCCTAGCTCAGTTGATAGAACACGTAAGTGGCATTCGGGAGGCCGTGGGTTCGATTCCCCGCGGCACCCATTGGACTCCCCGCGGGGCCCCCTGTGGCACACTTTGGGTTCATCAGCGGAGATAGATGGCTGCCCCATCCTCTCCCCCCCCCCCCCCCCAAGCTCGTGGTGGTAAAGTTATTCGGGCCTTCCATCCCGTGCCAGGGGCTAGGGGCCGGGGTACTTCTCCCCGCACAGAGCAGAGTTGAGGGTCAACCTAAAGGCGACAGACCCAGATTAGGCAGAAAAAAACGCGAGAACTGGACTAAAAGGTAGGTAGATAGGTAGGTAGTGGGAGATATAATGAGAGAAGAATATAGGGTAGTTCCTTTTTAAAAAAAGAGGGAAAAAAAAAGATTGTCAGCTCACATCCACATCCACACGAAAATGTGGCAAATCCCATCACGTCCACAAACATATGAAAGTCCGGCAATTAACCTTGGTGAGTCTATATCATAGGGGACCTTGCGTGCCACTTTCCCAAAAAAAAAGGTTTAGTCGAGTAGCCTTCCATTCATCCCTCACACTGGGTCCAGAAGGCTGCGCTCTGTCGGCGCTTTGCACAACCTTCTAGTAGTCCACATTACTCAAATATTTCTCTGCTAGCTTTACACAACTAGGCTGTCACTTATCTACTAACTTCACTTTCCTAACCATCTCACTTCACTAAGTTCACTTGCTATACATAGTAAGAGTATAGTCACCGATAGAGACTATAAGTATGCACTCGTCATCTTTCTCTCCACAAATCAGAGAAAGCAGTGCAAGACGTTTGTCCTCATCCCTTTAAAAGTCAAATGGACTAAGAGAAGTCAAAATAAATCACCCAATCTTGATGGGCGAACCGATAACTCACTTCTCTTCCCTGAAGGTATTGCACTGTACCTTCTGCAGTCATGCAGAACCTCCCTCCGCCTCCAGGAACGGTTAGACCTTGAAATGAACAGCATGGAGCCAGTCGCGCTCCATGCAACTCGAGCTAGCCCTCACTCGTCTCTCCTGTGATCCCTCCACTGCTTGCCCCTCACCAAGGGTTGAAATGAGAAGCCATTGAGTTGTGCTCAACACACACCTACTCAGACTATCCTCATCAATTTTCTCTCCTGTGGACGCTGCGGTTTTCCCCTTGGCCTCCTTGAAGGGCTGGAATGAACCGCAATGCGCTGCGCTCCGCGTGACTACTCGCGATTCGCTTACGTCTGCATAATGTTATGTATGCACATCCCCTTCCTTTTCTCCACTTCTGGCACTTAGGCACCGTAGTCTCTTCATGATCGAAAACAGGTTAACGGTGGTGACCTCTACCCTCCATGAAGGGTTGAAATGAAGACAACTGAGTCACCTTCCTCCAACTCTGCATCCAGTCGGCCTGTAATTTCCCAATCGCATTCGTTGATAAGAACGAGGACCCCTGGACGTCTGCAAGAGGACAAAAAATAGAACATAACGAGACGAGCGAAGTGCGGCAACAGTACATGAAGCAGAGGCGACATTCAATGCTTACACTACAGTTGTGACTGAGCAGAGCTACAAAAAGAATGAGACCTCGAAAAAGCACAAACCAACAAGCATAGGATACACACCCCCACAGCATCTTTTTCCCACACTATTATTTACTGGTGACTGGATCTGGAGGGTAAATCTTCGACCCAGTCGGACCGCAGGACATAGACCTGACAAGTTTCGCAGCTGAAAACTTGACTCCGTGCGACCATGGCAGGGACTCCAACCCTGTCAGCCCCACGACGACCTCTAAGGAGACAGCAATGCAGAGAGGTGAATCGGCAGGGAGGTCTGTGAATTCTAATGTCCTAATTAACAAAATTGTGACAAAGAAAAAATATGCATCATGATTCACGACCAAGGACGGCCAGACTGTTGACTGTTATCTTGCATCGGTTCTTGCAAGAAGTACGGATGTTGCAACGACCAATGCCTGGTGAGTGACAATTGGCAGAGTCTGAACTGCAGGGGTCCACACACAGCCCAAGGCCAAGGGCTGCTGAAAGAAGAGAGGAACAGAGACAAAGAGCGCAAGTGTTTGTAATATTGTGTATGCAATTACTCTCCACGTGGCACACTAGTATTTTTCTTCTTTTTCGCTGTCCGATCGTCAAAATTTATCCCCGTGGCGCACTTCCGCATTTTCTTTTTCCTATCCTCTGGAATGCACACCTGCATGCCACAGAGTACGCCCCTCACAACTGGTGTTCTATTTTTCTCGTGCCCCGTCACAGGATATGCGCTCAAAATCTGAGTAGTGATTCAGCTAAATACGATGCAGACCCTGTGTCTTGCCGCCAATGTGGTTATTAAAGGATGTTCAAAAACACCTACCGCAGTTTACATGTGCTCAAGTGTGTCTGGACTCTGGAGTATCAAAATGGTTTGATGGTATGATACACCAGAGTTTGAATGTTAATCAATTGCAATCTATGAATCAAAATGACGTACATTCATTGCACACTTTCCACACCTCTTATTCTTCTTCTTCTTCTTCTCAATGGAGATATGGTTGAGCTGATCCAGCATTGACCATAACATTTCAAAAGAAAAACCAAAACATGTTCAAAAGGGAGATGATTCTAAGGGTCAGGTTTCAGCATGCTTCGGAACTGGTTCAGAATCAACAAACTCCCATCCAGGTGGCTCCATTTGAGGATCACGCCCATCGATGCCCAAGCACTACATTGAAATTTGAAACCCCCATACGGGGCCCAAAAGCATTCCAGATTCTTCTGTTACTAATTCTCTGCAGTCTAAAGACTCTAAAAGGTATACATTGAACATTCACAATTAACTCTACTGTGTTTTGATGTCCTGCTTCCAAAAGCTGTTCAAATTTTGATAGTCCTTGTATGGAATCCCTTGCCTTCAGCCACCCGTGTCTCCTCGTCCAGGCAAACTTGAGAATCAAAATTGTGTCAATCCGGGATCTTCGGATCGGCAGTACTACCGGACCAAAATGGCTGGCGGTGCCAGCCAGAAAAAAAAAAAAGTGCACCACTGTCACTTCCCTTGTTTTTGATGCACAGTGCAAATCCACGTCCGCAAAAAGAGGCTCGGAGGTACTTGTGGTTTAAACTTTAAAAGTCTTTCATAGGTAAGAGTCATAAGCATATATCCTTTGCTAATTGTTTCTCCATCCAGGTTTTGTTATGGCATAGAGACATAACCTGACCTGAGTCAGTTTCCAAATCAGCGAATATTGTCGTTTCAATTCTTGAGAAAAATTCTCCGGGAGGACCTGAAAGGCACAAAGATTTATCGATTACTAGAGTAGCCAGCGCGGCTCCACCCGTGTTACAAAGGGATTTTGATGAAATTTTTACATTCGTGTGTATTAAATCTCCAATAGGATGTGAACACTAGAACCGAAAAATGGGCGGTTGGCAGGTAAAATAAACAACAACTAAGATCCGTTGTTTGAAAACAAACAGAGATGAGAAACGGTGGTGTTTTAGCCTTTAGGTCTTTGAGACGAAGAATTATCCCCCTGTACGCCCCAATAAAGACATAGCCCGGGTAGACTATAGTGGAGTAGAGTAGCGTAGAGTAGATAGTATAGTAGAGTAGAGAGTAGACAACAGAGAGTACCTGAGAGTAGAGAGTAGAGTACAGGGTAGAGAAGAGTAGAGCGTGGAGTAGAGTGGAATAGAGAACAGAGAGTAGAATAGACTGGAATAGAGTAGAGACTCGAGAGTAAATATAGAGTGGAGAGTAGAGTGGATGAGAGTAGCGAGAGTATTAAGTGCAGATATCGTGTACAGTAGAGCAGAGAAAAGACAGTAGAGAAGAGAGTTGAGAGCAGTGTAAAGTAGCTAGTATAGAGTAAAGCCGAGAAGAGTTCAGTGTCGAGTGATGAAGAGTCCATCCTACAGAGTAGCATAATAGAGTAGAGTAGACAGTAGGTCGAGTAGAGTAGAGAGAGTGGCACAATAGATAGTACTGTAGTGCAGAGAGTACAGAGTAGTGTAGAGTAGAGAGTTTAGTGTAGAGTTGAGTAGAGAGTAGAGAGTAGCATGGAGTAGAGAAGAAAGTATATAGTGTAGAGTGTAGTGTAACGTAGAGAGTAGAGTAGAGCGAGTAGAATAGAGAACCGTGGAGTAGTGTAGAGTAGAGCAGAGAGTAGAGCATGGAGAGCAGAGCAGAGAACACAGTAGAGAGCAGTGAGCAGCGTGGAGAACAGAGTGCAGAGAGTAGGGAGCACGGCAGAGAGCAGAGGAGAGAGCAGAGAGTAGAGAGTAGCATAGGGTCGAGAGTTGAGAATAGACAGTGGCGTAGAGTTCGAAGTAGAGAATATAGAGAGTTCAAAGTAGAGAATAGAGAGTGGCGTAGAGTTTGGAGTAAAGAGTACACTACAGCACATCAGAGCAGAAAGTAGAGAGTAGAGTGGAGAGCAGAGCAGCATAGAGGTCCTCACCGAGAAAAAAACAGCATTTATCACTACTACTTACTAAGAGAAAAGGGCACGGTGGCCATCTAGGAGCTCAGTTTGCCCATTTGTTTTCCCTGGGCATAGGGCCTCCCCACACTACTCACCAAATTCACAGACGAAAAGGGTTACGGCAGCGCAGCTTCGCAGCTTTAGTGAAAGATTCATTCTCATTTTGCACATTTGGTGATTAGTGCAGCAAGGCCCACACTAACACTGGGACTTTTTCAACTTACCTGTGGTCGTAATTCCAGTCAGGTGCATCCAGGCCGGGCTGTCAAAAGAGACACATGCGTTCAGGTAAGTCCTTACGGGACTTTTTCAACTCACCTATGGAACGTCGGGCAGCAAAAGAGGTCAGATGCGTCCAGGAAAGTGCTCACTTGAGATGTCCTGTTACACCGCCAAACCTTTTTCTTTCGTTTACTGCAAAGTGTTTTCTTTGAGAATCATTGATTCTTGTTTTGCATTGCGTGAAATGACCTACACAGTTGCAGTCCAAGAACTCTGTTGAACTTTTTGGAAAAAACGGCGCCCCGTTAATCTGTTAGCTCAAGATTCCAAATCTGCGCCTGTTTGCTGCAGATTCCTTTTCTGAGTCTGTTTGCTGTGTTTTCTGAATACATTTGTGATAAACCCGTATGCTTGCGCGCGAGCAAGTGCATATATGTGTGTGTGTGAAACTCCGTTCAGAGGGCCGAGATGGTGTCATTGAGGATAGTCCGAAGGCGGGCCGAGATGATGTGATTGAAAATTGGCCGAGAGGATCTGTTGGAAGTCCCCTTCAAGTATAAGACTGCCACTGTTGTTAAGCAGGTCTTGTAATGTATGAATGAAGTAATCCCATACTTGCGGCGCATTTGTGCGGTGCGCGATGCGGTGCGCTGCGCCTTACGCGGTGCGCAGCTTGACTATGTGCATACCTGTGCGCGATGCGCGCGCACCCGTGCGCAGTGCGCCATGCGCCGTGCGGTGCGCGACTATCAGGTGCGCCATGCGCTGGTGCGCTGAGGCGTGCGCGTGCCGAGCGCACTTCCGCGCACGGTGCGCCCTGGTATATATGTTTTTTATTTTTTATATACGTGATACACAGGGTTCAGGACTTAATAATAGTTACTGCTGGTTGATATAAGTCATATTGTTTGTATAACTTTATAACTTTATATAACATTACAGACTTATAGTATGATTGTGCTTAGTACTATGATTACACTGCGTTACAGTGTTGTGGGGAACCCCGTAGCAGCCACATCCGGCCCGTAATACTATTATTTTATTACGTTAACGAAATTTGAAAAACAAAAAGAAAATATTTTCTTTTTCACCAGCGACCACCCTGTGAAGGTGCTCACTCGAACACAAAACGAGTCCGCGATTTGATGGAAGACCTGCCGACGATCAAAAAGGGAAGTGGAAGATGGACCGACGAGTGATGGTGGAAAGACGAGGGAGGGGGGGAAGTGAACAACGGAGGGAGGAGGGACGAAGTAGGAGAGACGAGGGAGAAGGGACGAAGTAGGAGGGACGAGCAGGAGAGATGAGGGAGGAGGGACGAAGTAGGAGAGACGAGGGAGGAGGGACGAAGTAGGAGGGACGAGTAGGAGAGACGAGGGAGGAGGGACGAAGTAGGAG